GGATTAACACAGTCCTTTATAAACACTTCCAAAAAAAATAGAAGAGGAAGAAACACTTGTCAACTCACTCTGTGAGGCCACTACCCTAATTCCAAAATTAGACAAAGACACCACAAGAAAACTACAGACCAATATTTCTTATGAATATAGATGTAAAAATCCTCCACAAAATACTAGCAAGCCAAATTCAGCAACACATAAAAGTGATTATACCACTGTCTCTCGGTGTCCATGGAGAATAGGTTTCAGGACCCCTAACAGATACCAAAATCTGAGGATCCTCAAGACCCTTATATATAATGCACAGCATTTGCATATAACATAGATACATCCTCCCATATACTTTAAGTCCTTTCAGGACCCCTAACAGATACCAAAATCTGAGGATGCTCAAGACCCTTATATATAATGGCATGGCATTTGCATATAACATAGGTACATCCTCCCATATACTTTAAGTCATCTCCAGATCACTTATAATACCTAATAGAATGGAAATGCTATGTAGATAGTTGTTATACTTTATTGTTTAGGGAACAGTGATCCAAAAAAAGTCCATACACGTTCAGTATAGGTGCAACCATTGTAGGCCTAACTGTATAGTACATATCAGCAACAATGTAACTTTTTTTTTTTTCCCCAAATATTTTCTATCCACGATTGGCTGAATTCATAGATATGGAACCCATGGATACAAAGGGCCAACTACACACCATGGCCAAGAGAGGATTCACCCTGGGAATGCAAAGTTTGTTAAACACAAATATCAATCAATATAATATACCACCTTAACAGAATAAAGAACAAACCGTAAGATCATCTCAATAGATGCAGAAGACATAAGCCAGATCTCCCACTCCTGAGCACAAAAACCTGTCTCACTCTCAGTAAAAGCCAATTTCACCTGCAGCCCACAAGGCCCTACATGACCTGGCCCCTACCACCTCTTTATCTTCATCTCCCTCTCTCCTTTCACTCTCTCCACACAAACCACAGTGTCCTTGCTAGTCTTCAAACCCACCAGGTACACTCCTGCCTCAGGGTCTTTACAGTTGCTATTCCTTCCACCTAGAAAACTCTTCCCCTAAACAGCCATATAATTTACTCCTTCACCTCCTAGCGGTCTTTTCTCAACAACCACCTTCTTGGTGAGGCCTCTCTGGTTACACTATATAAAATCGCAGCCCTCTCCCTGCAATCCCACACAATCCCTATCTCCTTTCTCCACTCTAAGAATTTATTATCATCTGAACTATTGTGCTTTACTCGTTTCTCACCTACTGTCTGTCTCCCCCAACTAGAACGTAAACTCCCTAAAGACGGAAGTATTTTAGTCTATTTTATCCATTGCTCTATCCACTGCATTTTAACTAGCATGCCACTTTCAATAAATATTTGTCAAATAAATAAATGAATGTAAATAGCTGATCATTCAACCATTCACTCAGCAAGCAGTGATCACCCCCACCCAACCCCAAGTTCCTGACACTGTGCTTCTGGCTGGAGTGCTAAGGAAGGTTGGAATCAGCCTAGGCCCTGCTGGGAGAGGGGTCAGAGCATAAGTAACTATAACCCAAGGAAGACAATGCTGAGGAGTATCAAGGATGAAGAGAAAGGGTCAGGCCTAGCAATCAAGGAAGGCTCCATGGAGAGATGGAGCTCAAACCAGCCCTCGATGGCCCAAAATGATTTGGGCATATGGAGAAGGGGTGGGAGTGGAGGGAACAGAGGGAGGGCCCAGATGTGAGAAGCATGGGGCATGTCCTGGGAATTAGAAAGGGACCTGTGTGGCAGGACTGCATGGGGATAAGGCTACTAAGGTTATCAGGGCAGTTCATGAGAGGCTTGGAATGCCAGGATGAGGAGTTCAACTTAGTTCTAGAGGTGCCAGGGAGCTTTTCAAGGCTTTGGAACAGGGAAGGTCCGTGGTATCACTCGAGCAGTGTGGGAAGAACAGATTGTGGTGGGTGAGCAAGAAGGCAAGGAGACCAGGAAGGTGGCTCCCAGAACGGCCCTGGAGAGAGACGGCAAGGCCTGAGCCGGGAAAGGACAGAGGGGACTGAAAGAAGAGAGAAGGTTTGAAGGTATTAAGGGTTTTACGATGATGTTGCGGGGAGGGAGAGGTAAGGAACCGGAGCCTGAATCTCAAGTCAGAACATCCAGGTGGACCTCAGAGGCACAGAGAGAGCCATGCAGGCTGGTGTCTGGCCAGGAGGTCCAGAAGGAACCACACCACTTCTGGAAGGCTGGAGTTCTGGCTGCGGGGGCTCAGCATCGCTGGGCACCATGCCAGGGCTATATACAAGCCACAGGAAGGAGGAGCTTCCCAGCACTAAAAAAACCAATGCATCCTGGCCCTGCTCACCTTGCTGCCCCTCACCTCTCATCTCCGGGGTAAGCCTAGAGAAGAGTTTCTCCAGCTGGCTTTGCCAGCCAAGACACAATGTCATTTCTAGATGAGCCATCCAGCTCTGGAAATATGCCAAGCTGTAGGAGGGGGGACAGCTGTGTCCCCAAACATAGCCAAGGAGCCACCTCCCAGAGCCAACCAAGACAGTGGCAGAAGCAGAGCTGGCAGGGGGTTCACCAGCCCAGCCAATGCAGGGACAGGCCTTTGATGGGGCCTCCATCTGCCTGGGGCCTCAGCCTGTCTGCAAGGTCAGGCCTAGTCAGCCCCCACCAGCTGGAGTTGATGGTGCCAATCATAATTCTGCTACCTCAGCCAATAAGCATTAAGGCATTTATTGGCACCTAATGTATATAGGCTGTTTCTCTCCCACAGAGGTGGCAAGGATCAGTGCATCATGAAGGACACGGACTTTATAGTCCACGGGGCTGAGTTTGAGTTTTGTTTGTCCCGCTATTTATGTCACTATCTCTGGGCCTCAGTTTTCCAATCTATCAAGTAGGCATGAGAAAAACTCTTCCCCATGAGGGATCATAAAGGCAGAATAAAAGCAGGTAAAGTCTGCTCTCCAGGAACTTCAGCAGAAGCCCAACCAACACTGAGGACTTGCACTTAAGAGAGGTTGCAGACATACCCTCGGAGCTTAGAGAAAGAAATGAAACTGTTTTGTGTGGCCTCCAGCTTATGTAGAAGGCTGGAGACTCAGGCTGGGGAGGGTTTTTTTAGAGTGAAAAAGCTGAATGAGGGGCCTCTGGTGACCCACCCACAGATAGGGCAGTGCCTGCTAGGAGGGAGACTGACCTTTCTCCTTGGCAAAGCACCAATGAAATGCTGACCATCCTGCACCAGGGCCACCCAAGGGGCACCTACAAAGGGCACCCTAAGGCCATCTTGGAGCATATCACCTAGTATTCAGAAAGCATGGACCCTTGGGCCCAAGGAGAGGCTGAGGGCAGGAGTGCCAGACGGAGCAGCCTACAGTGTCATGGTGAGGAGAGAGGGCAGGATTCAGGGTAGTTATGCTTCCTGAGTTCATCCTAGGGGTTAAACAGACACTAGAGAGGAGACAGGCTTGAGGGTCATGAGAGGGGAGCCCCACAGGGGGTCTGTCTGGGGCCACAGGGTCTAGCAGGAAGGTATAGAAGGACGACATCTGAAGAGGAGCAGAGAGGAAGACGTGAGAGGACAGAAATGCCAATGTCATCTGCCTCAAAGAACAAAGCAATGTAAAAGCCAAGGCCAGGGGCCCAAAAAACTCACAAAAGTGTGTCCTCAGGAGAGGAGTCAGCCAGCATCTGGGCATCTGCCACATGGAGGGCACTGATAGTCAGCAAAAACAACAGCGGACACAGGTGATACTTGGCCCATTTTTCCGGTCATTCTTCCTGGCCCACCCAACCCTAGAGGGGTCAGGATCTCCAGGGAGGGGCAATGCTGGGGACCGAGATGGAACAAGGAGGACAGAACTAACTAAAGCTCCCCCTCTCTCCCTTCCCCAGTACCAAGGCCTGGATAGAAGCTTTACTAGGAAATAGTTCCAAAGTTTTGATTTCAATGGGACCAGCTGTGTAGTTCATGAATGTGACTGGAAAAGCTATGGGATCTGGTCACAGATGGGAGACCCGCCCAAACCAATAGAACAATAAAGCTGTTGTTGATTTACTTTGAGTCTAGTCTGCTCACTGAACTCTGCACACACATGAGCGGGCATCCGTGTCCACAGCAGTGGGTCCCCAGGGCCTTGGGACTGGGGAAGGGGAAAGGGAAGGGGAAGGGAAAGGAACTCGAACCCTTCTGGCTGAGGCTAGGCTGACACCATCTTCCCAGAATCAGTGGCCCCTTCCAATTGGGTGGGACAGTCAGGGCTGGGGCTTTGGGGAGCCAGGGACACTGCTGCACATGTGTTTGTCTATATGTGGATACAGCCCCATCCATATACCATGGTGCCTGATGGAACCCAAACATGCACTGAGCCCAAGTGAGAAAGGTGAATTCTGATGTGAGTAGACAGTAGTCTGGAAAGGGTTTTGGAGAAGGTGGCCTTTGAGTTGGGTCTTGCAGAAGAAGGATTTCAGGAGGCATCTAAGAGAGATAAGGTGTCCCTGGCAGGAAAAGGCTGAGAGATATGAGTACCTTTCAGACTGTGAGGCACATGAAAGGATGAGTGGGATATGGATCTGGAAGACATGATATTATCACAATTGTCACCTTTAAAGTAGTATCTGCACTGGCTATGGCTTCACTTTCCTCATCTGTAACCTGGAAAGAATCACCCTGTTTCTTCTTGGATTCACAACATGTCCTAGGAATAAGTGAGTCCCATTATCTCGAATCAAAGCATCAACCAGGAGCTCAGAGGACATACTTTAGAGTTGGAAAAGCTTAGGCTCAAGTCTCAGTTCTGCCCCTTCTTAGCTGTGTAACTCTTAGTAAGCCTTGGTTTTACTCATCTGTAAAATGGGGATAATAAGCTCCACCTGGAAGGAGTGATACACAGGATGTAAGCAAAGGCCCAGCACAGTGTAAGCCAGTATGAAACAGGAACTCCCTACCCACCTCACCCCACCCCATCTCTGAAGGGGCCCTCACTTACATAGGAAGCCAGGAAGGTGGTCGGGGCCAGGATGAGAGCCAAGTAGAGGCAGGGGGCTGCAGCAAGCAGGCTAGAGGCACAGATGAGGGGCTCAGCCCGTGGGTTGACTTTCTTGTATCTCCTTGAAGCCTCTGCTCCCAGGACAACTCCAATGATGCCAGTCACAACAGTCAGCGCCCCAAAAATCAGGCTGATGTGAAAGAGCAAAGAGGGGTTGGCCAGTGGGTACGGTCAGGATAAGGGTCCAGATGCTTGTCCCTGTGCATGATCTGCTACCCACAGGGAATGTGGCTGTGGGCTCCTTCCCCTCCCTCTTAACCGGTGCTCCTGGGAGCATGCTCAGGGACCCAGGAACTCTACCTCTCCTCCCCGATCCTCTTGCCTGTCTCATCCTGGGAATGCCACGGGCCATGTGGTGATCTGCTCAGCACCTGAGTTCTCAGCCTTCCTCACTTCCTGTGACTTTCTCCAAACTCTCACCACCCAAAACTGTCCCACTCAGAAATCTCAATTCTACGATCCCACTCTGGCCCTTCAACCTCCTCCCCTTCTTGCTTCAATACTAAAGGAAGTGGAGGCAAGCGGACATTTATTTATTGAGCTCCTATGATACACTTGGCCCTTCTCTGGTCACTGTATACACCCTCCCTCCTCGAATCCCTCCTTCTCCTCTCTGTCTTTGAATACCTCTCAAGCAGCCCCCTCCTAACTTCACTACCTTTCCCATCTATTCCTGTACCCACCACAACGTCACTTGGCCCCTCTTGCACCTTCCTCCTATGCAAAACTGTCCCTGCAGAACAACCTCCATACAGGTCCCCAGAGGGTGCTTTCTAGAACACAAATCTGACCACCCCCTGCCCACTCCCTGCCTAAAATTCTCCACTAGCTCTGAAATGTCCGCCAGATTTGTTGCCAACTCATTGCAACATACATAGCTCTTCATGATGTGACCCTGGCTGACCTCAACCTCCAGCTCCATCCAGCCCCCAGACTAGTTGTCATCCGTTTCATACTTTGATTCCTCCACTTAGACACCCTTCAATAGTGTTTCCACTTACTGAACTCCTACTCATCCTTCAAGACACATCACAAATATCCCTTCTTGGGAGATGCCTGCCCCTGGCCCTTTGCTTATTGCTTCACTCCCTTTAGTTCCCATAGTACCTTCTGTGTCTCTATCATCAAGGTCATTATTACCTGTGAATTCCTAGAGACCAGAGACAAGATTTGGTTTACTTCCTTGACTCTATATTGGGAGCATAGAGCCTGGACCACAGGAGATATATGAGCAAATTAGCTCATTGAGCCCTCCCAGAATTCCCAGGTGGACAGATGAGGAAGGTTAAGGTTAAGATTACCCAGGTAATAAGTGACAGAGGCAGGATTTGAATATACATCTTTCCCTCCTGGTCCATCCTGCCCTCCCAAACCTCCTATTAAAGGAGCTCAAAGGGATGCCAAAACTGACCAGCATGAGCTCTTGAAAACGTGAATATAACCAGGAACTTCCCAGCCCCTCAGTGGCTCCCTGTTGTCCTTAGGGCAAGCTCCCAGCCAGCACAGTGGTACTGGCCCCTGCTGACTTGTGTAAGCTTCCCTCTTTTCTCCTTCACGCACTCTGCACAAATGATTAAGAATTCTCTAAAGTCACCCTACGTTTTCCAGCTTCCTTGCCTTGGCCCACACTGTTCCCTTGGTCTCGAGTGCCATTGCTCCCCCACCTGCCTTCTCTACCTGGCTAGTATCCCCACCCTGACCAAAACATTTCCAGAAGTGCGTGGGATGTCCAGGTGCCCTGCTATTACTTCTATGGCTCCCACAAAGATGTAAGAACATGACAGATGCAAGAATATAGTTACTGAAAAATTGAATCACAAAAAAAACCAGCTCTCCTCTAAACAACTTCTGTGAAATGTCCATTCCACAGGCTGAGGATTTGTTCTTCTGCCCCACCTCCTTGATTTATAGGAGAGAGCATAGAGCCCAGAGAGAGCAGGAATCTGCCTGAGGTCACACAGCCCCTCATAAGCAGAGCCAGGGCCTCCTGGCCTTCTGCCTACCAGACAAAGCGTGTGTGTCCTTAGGCAGCTTAAAGGTGCTCACCGAACCTTCCCAGCCTTCCAAGCTGTGCAAGGCTCTGGCTTAGCCCACTCAAGTGATCCCAAGCCCCAGATGAATGCTATCCACTTCTGAGTCCTGGTCTGAGCTGGCCTTGGCAGGTTCTCAAGACCTTTGTGAGACTTAGGATCAATTATTCAGATAGGCAGTGTAGACAGGAAAGACCTTCCATCAGTCCCTGAGCAGAAGGTATGGCCAGAGGACATGCCCAGCTACAAAGGGACCCCTCATCCCTACAAGACCTTCCCAGAATCAGACTCTCAGATCCAAGAGGGTCCTTAAAGGCCTGCAGGTTCTATGCTGATTCTCTGTACAATGGTCCTGGCAAACAGCTGTCCAGCTCCTACTTACATACACCCCCAAGGGCCGGAAGCTCCCTACTCCCATACAGCCCTTCCATCTGGCAAGCTCTAAGCATTGGAAGTTCTCCCTCTGGTTGAGTTGGAATCCTGTGTTCTGCAGCTTCCTCCTCCACCTCACCCTTACCCTGCAGCTTATCCTAACCCCCGAGGTGTGTTAATAGCTGAGGTCTGAGTTGAACCTCAACACTGGGAGCTTCTTCCCACTCTGTGGTAGAATGAATAATGGCTCCCTGAGGTGTTTATGTCCTAATCTCTGGAAGCTGTGAACGTTACTTTAGATGGAAAAATGTGGTTACATTTAAGGATCTTGAGATGGAAAGATTATCCTCCATTATTCACTGGGTCCTAAATGTAATTACAAGTATCCCTATAAGAAGGAAACAGAGATTTGAGACAGAAGAGAAGCCATCTGTCTGTGGATGCAGAGCCCGGAGTGATACAGCCACAAGCTAAGGAATGCCAGCAGCCACCAGAAGCTAGAAGAGACAGGGAAGGTTTCTCCCATAGAGCCTCCAGAAGAAGACTGGTCCTGCCGAACTTGATTTTGGCCTAGTGAAACTATTTTGGATTTCTGGCTTCCAGAACTATGAGAAAATAGATTTCTGATGTTTTAAGCTACCAAGTTTGTGGTCAATTTTTATATCAGCCCCAGGACACTAACACAAACTCCCATGTCAGTTTCTCACACAGGATCTCTGGAGGAACTGAGTTAGAGGAAGAAGCTAAAGCTGAGAAAAGGGTAAGTGACTTGCCCAGAAACACACAGCCAGTTCATGCCTGAGGTGGAATCGCATTCTGTTCATCTCCAACTTTTTCAAGCTGTCGTGGGGCTTTTAGGGCTCAGTCTTTGCTTCCAGGGAGATAACAGTCTAGCTGTGGCACCAAGACCAACATCCAGTCTCATTTGATGCATGAATTCATTCACTCACTGGATGCTTTCCCTGAACACCTATGGTGTGTGTGTCAGAAAGCTGCTCCCAGCTAGGTAGAGAGATGCTCACGTCAACTAAGTAACAGATAGTCTCCAGAGGCAACAGGACTTGGAGCTTGAGAGCACCAGCTTTGGAGACAGTAGGGTTTGAATCGTGGCTCCACTACTCGTTAGGTATGTGACCTTGGACAAGTCATTTAACCTCTCTGATCTTCTATCCCCTCGTTTGTAATACAGGAATAATAACAGAGTTAACTATTATAAAACTTCAGAGGATTTTTCATGTAAAATGCTTACCTTAGGACCTGAACTAAAGTTAAAGCTTAAGAAGTAACAATGAGAAAAGGGAGAGGAGCTATGGGCAGAGGGCATAGTTTGGGCAAAGGCACAGACAGGTGAGAGGGCATGAGACATTCTGGAAATTACACAAAGCTCTCTCTGGGCATCAGAGAATGAGGAAGAGGCCAGAGAGGAGACTACAGAAGCAGGGGATGTGCTACCAGCAGAGAACTGGTGTCACCGAAGCCTCGGGGAGCATGGAGCTCCTGGGAAAGTTCAGAGCCCTGAGGAACTCTGAGGAGCCCATGGGGCAGGGTTGGAGAGGAGGCGACCACAGGAGACTGAAAAGCTTCAGCCAGAGAGGAGGAGGAAACTAGGACTGCAGGTTTCCAGGAGGAGAAGAAAGCAAGTGAGAGAGGACTGAGATGTGCCCTCTCGATCAGGAGGTCACTGAGTCCTTGGAGAACGGGGTGAGAAGGGCATTCACTGAAGGCAGAGCACCAGTATGGCTTTTGCTCTCCACCCCTCTCCACCCTCTCAGCAGCTTTCCCAGACTCTCAGCACTTGAAATGAGGCAGAGAATCAATGAATGCATGGGTGAAATCCCTAAGCCAGATGAGTAATGAGGCCTCCCAGTGCCTCCATTTGCCATCTGTAAAATGGGATGGCCTCACACTATAGGTCCCTTTGAAGGAAAGTTGCCTGAGAGTACCATCACTCACTCTGACTCAAGTGCCTTCTGGACCACCCCCAGAAGCCCAAGAGTGGGAGGACAGGCGCTGGGGCCCAGAGATGACTGAGGAGCTAGCTTCCTGTGGCCACTCAGGATGGCAGGAGGGCAGCTAGAGCTAGAACCAGACTCTTGTCTGCCAGCTGTGTCCTGACCTCTGGGATCTTCATATGCCTAGTTTTGGGGCTCAGAACCTCCTAAAGACTTCCCCACCATGATTCCCCCTGACCTGGGCCACATGCCCAGGGCTCCAAGAGGCACCTCACCTGTCCTTGTTGTTACACGGCTGCCGGAGGCAGGGAAGCTGCAGCCCATGCACCACACGAGCCTCAAACAGAAATGTAGGGGCCCAGAAGCCCAGTGCTCCAGTCACAAAGGCCATGGCTGTCACTCCAAGGGTCGACAACACAAAACTCCAGCTACAAAAGAAAGTGCCCTGGCTGAAGCGGAAAGAGGACTAGAGCTGAAGGGACCTGTCTGCTCCTGTCTGCTCTTCTTCTCATCTTCTGGGCATTTCAGTCGCCTGGGCACTCAGGTGGGCTCCAGGCTCCAGATCCTCCCCTAACAACCCAGCACATCCCACCTCCACACTTTCACTCATGTTTTGCCTTCCTCCCTCCTCTCTGCAAAACCAATTCTCCCATCCTGAAGGGATAACAATCCGACATCAGATTCTCCAGCAAGCTGCCCCTGCTGCCCTTCCCTTCCTCTGAGTGCCCTCCACTGGCCTCATGGCTCTGTAACAAAGAGAGTTGGGTCCTGTTTGTGCCTCACATTTCAGTAAATCATGAGGCCTGGGAGTGCAGTTGACTCCTGTCTGCCTCCCGACCATGCCTGGAACAGAGGATGGATGCACTCCCATGAGGCTCAGAGAGGTGAGTGATTAACTCCTGGCATCCTCCCAGCAACCCTGAGAAGCAGGCAAGGCTGGAGAATTATGTCCACTGAATAAATGAGGGAAGTGAGGCTTCAAGTCTCAGGTCACTCAGGGATAAGGCAATGACAGAGCCAAGGCTACAGCTCATGCTGCCTGACTGCCTCCCTCCCTTCCTGTCTCCCTCCCAGCCCATATTCTGCCACATGGCCAGGGGAAGTGGGCCTCCAAGTGAGGGAGGGACATCTCCGTTGGTGAGTGGGAGCTCAGAGGAGAAAGAGGGCTGTGAACCTTGGACAGTCACAGAGGGCTCCCTGGAGGCAGAGAGAGGGAGGTCAGTGATGCTGGAGCAGACAGTGGGGTTTTCAGTGACAAGAAGGGAAGAGCAGAGATACTCACTTTCTCCCCAGGTATCTGATGTCCGCACACCAGCTGCTCCTCAGGTCCCTCATGGCCACCTCCCCCTGCTTCTCAGCAGCTCCCCGGGGAGGGTCTGGAACCAGTGCAATAAGCAAGATCAAGGCCACAGCTTCCAGGCAGGGCAGGATCTGGGAACAGAAGGGCCCAGGAAGCTCAGGACCACAGACTCCTGAAAACCAGGAGATCCTGGGCTGGGCTGAACTCTGTGGTCTAGGCGCTTGGGGTGCTTTGTGCCCTGGGAGGTAAGGGAGGACAGCTCGTTTCCTGGGTGCTGGTTATACAGAGCCTGACATACCACTGTTCCTCACCCATGAGAGTATGGCCTCTCTGGGGAGTGGGGTCCCCTTGGGAGTTAATTTAATACGTGTCTGTCTAGTACAGACATAACTCTATTGGATCAGTGAGCCTGGCATGACTGAGAACTGAGCCCTGACTATACTGGCCCTAACCATTGAGTACTCATTGCCCCCATAACTGCCCGTTTTCATGGCCCATGCCTCCATCTGCTATACCAGTCCTGCCCTAGTATCTTTCCAACCCATGTCTCCTTAATCCTCAAGATTCCATAGGCAGCATTTACTCTCCCATTTTACAGATACACAAGGTGAGTCTCTTAAGAGAGAGGTGACTTGCTTCAGGTCACAAAGCTAGCAAACTGAACAGTCAGGATTTAAACCCACGACTTCCACTGTCCATGTTCCATATGAGGCCCCAAATGTCTGAAGCTGCCGATGTCTGACCACCCCCCACGGCACCAGGTACTGTGCCAAATGGCTAAGGCTACTCGAGGCTGGAAAGTCCCTGCTGGCCCGGGGGAAAGCAGAGTAAAGAAAAAAAAGCTGGACTCACTCGGAGGGCCCAATGCCAGTTCCCAGTCAGCTCCGTCACAGCCGACCCTAGCACGTAGCCCAAACCACTGCAACAGAGGGCCAAGGGGAATGGGCAGTGAGGGTGGATGGCAGGCCCAAGGACGCAAGGCCAGCCTAAGCCAAGATGCCCCTACCCCAGGGAGCTGGCTCTCTGCAGCTCATAGCCCTTTCACTGGGAAAACTGAGTCACGCGAGGCCCAGATGTCCACTGCCCTTGGTCAAGTCACCAGTGACCTCTGGCTCCTAGCCCATCCCTGGCACTACTGTTCACTGTCTCCCTATATAGGGACCCCCTCTCTCACCCAAGGCTCAGCCCTGCCTGAGTCAGGCGATTTCAGGAAACCTGGGTCAGAGCTCAGAGGCTTAACTGTAAATCCCACTCAGTCCTACCCCTTTGTGGAATACACTGCCCAGCCCTAATGCACTTCCCTGCCTCACCTCCCAGAGCTGGCCCCTCCCTGCACAGGCCACACTGCCCGGCTGCTCTTTCTTACCCCTTCCAGAGCATACTAGCATTTAGGAAACATCTTCATTCTCTCTAATCATCACCACAGCCCATCAGTGTTGTTGTCTCCACTTACGGATGAGGAAACTGAGGCTCAGACAGGGAAAGTGACCCAGTGAGGAAGGGGCAGAGTTGGGGTTTAAATCCTAGCCCTCCTGGCCTGATGTCTTCTCCACCAGCCCAATCCCTGTTCTGACTCCTTTGGGCCTCAGTTTACCACCCAGGGAAGTGGATCCAGGGTGATACTAACCTTCCAACAGGAATAAAGATGTAGAAGATGGCCAGCACCCGGGTCCGCTGATCCCTCACGAAGAGGTCGCCCAAGACAGTGGGCGCAATGGTGGAGTAGCTGGCAGTGCCTGTGCCCACGGCTCCTCGGAACAGGAAGAAGAGCCAGGAATACTGGGCAAGCAGGCACAAGAACAGGGTGAGTTCCAAAAATCACCCACAGGCAAGGGACTCAAGGATTTGTCAGAAGGGCTGAGGGTACCTGGTGGCTCATGCCCCCAGGAGATTAAGAAAAGATGGAGCTTCAGCCACCTCTCTATCCTCCCAGTCCAGGTTCCCCAAATCACACGGGTGCCCCCTGCTGGCGCCTACAGCCGCCACCAGCCCTTGAACCCAGAGATGCCCTTTTCCTGGGCATCGCCTTTGCTAACCAGGACAGTTCCCCAAGACAGTAGCTGTTACCACATCCCACCCCCAACACGGTCGGCAAGAATGAAGCCACAGGCAGCAGCAGGAGATGCAAGAGAGGAAGACTCTCATTAAGAAAGCCTAACAGGCTTCTCTCTCAGCCCTTGAAGGTATTCCCCAGCCAGCCTGGAGCCTGGAATAGAGCAGAAGCAGCCCTACCTGACTCTGATGGGACTGAGTCAGAGAGGAAGCTGGTGGGAGGAGGTCCCCGGGGGCATGTGTACGGGAGAGGGCACCTACCTGGGGGGAAATGAAGGAGCTGGAGAGGCCTGCTCCTGACCAGAGCAGGATCCCAAAGCTCAGTGTGGCTTTGCGGCTGTGTCGGTCACCCAGGTAGCCAAACACAGGTGCAGATAGAAGCAGGCAGCCGATGAAGACTGGAAGAGACATGCAAGGAGTAACATGCATCTCTCCGTAGCACTGGGT